TATAATCACCCCATCATCACCAACACCACTCTACCATCAACCCACTATTATCAACACCAACATCATTGTCACCTCACCATCATCTATCAACCATCAATATAATCACCACATCATCACCAACACCACTCTACCATCGACCCACTATTATCAACACCAACATCATTATCACCTCACCATCATCTATCAACCATCATTATAATCACCACATCATCACCTCCACCACTCTACCATCGACCCACTATTATCAACATGAACATCATTATCACCTCACCATCATCTATCAACCACCTTTATAATCACCCCATCATCACCACCATCACCCAACTATCAACCTACTACTATCAATACCAACACCATTGTCACCTCACCATCATTATCTCACCTCACCACTGTCAACATCATCACCACCATGAACTGCTCACCATCATCATGGCCACGTTCAACCACCATCGTTTTTGTTACTCCATTAACACCACTGTGACTGCACTCATCAACACTTCAAGATTTATATCATCATTTTCCATAAATGGATCATAATGTACAATGTAAACTTCTCTAGCCAAAATTAAAATGAGCATTGGATGAATGAATGTTTTTTTGTAACTAAATTATATCTGGAATGTTCTGTTCCTCGTTTTCTAAAGGTAATCTAGAATGGGAAGATAAAACAAAACAAAGATGCCACGTGATGTGGAGAAAACCAGAAGAATGGGCAGCATTGATATTTAAATGGGTAAGGCTATGTGGTAGTATAATCTATACATCCCCTTGAAAATTAACTTGGAAAAAAAGCCAAAAATTCCATCAAGGAATTGTACTTTATTTGCATTTTTCTGTTAACTGCTCTTTCAGGGGTTGTTTTAGAAGTGGTCAATGGGTGCTATTAGGATCCCGTTATTTATATAAAGCAGAGATTTGATGATTACTGGAAAAAAGTAGCTTGCATGTAAGAGAGGAAACTACTTGGTGAAGTCATTCTTTGTCGTGCGTCAGCCTTATGAACTTTTTGATGGGAAGCTGCAAAAGATTGGCCACCCCCAACCATCTCTATAGTAAAGCTTTTACAGTAGTTTTTACATGACATGGAAAACTGGGGTCAGGGGAGGAGGGGGGTGGCAAATTGTCTGCGGTAAACCAACTCTGTGGTCCATGTGATTTTTACAGCTAGATTACAAATTAGTATTTACTATCATGTTTTAGATTGAGGATAACAGTATGACTGACACTGTCTGTACTTTATACGAATTAATGTCGGGCGACGACACAGTCAATCAAGGTTTGTACACTACTCTCTTCATGAATAGAAGATATTACTTGGTGGCACAAAGATATGAAGTTTATCTTCAAGTGGTGATAAAATATCTCACCAGTGAGTGCTGCGAACGAGTGAAGTGTCATTTTATTTTTCTGTGACAGAGTTTCATGGTATTGAAATGTGGGCTATTGTGATCAATCCGCACCGTACGGTAAGGTATCGGTAAGTGGTTGGTCGACACTTACCGACACCTTACCGTTAAGTTATCGACCACTTACCGACACCCTACCGACACCTTACATCTGGTTTCCGCCATCAGATTTCAAAGATAGCAAATAGTAATATATAGATCCAAGAAAAGACATGATAACCTTCTAAAACAAAAACCCCTAGAAAACTTGAAAAGATGGTATTGACATGTGGATGATGAAAAACCGTTATCGTTATAAAATATCTCACCAGTGAGTGCTGCGAACGAGTGCAATATTTTTCAACACTTTTAGATATTAACTCCAGTGTCATTTTATCTTTCTGTGACAGAGTTTCATGGTATTGACATGTGGATGATGAAAAAAGCGCTATCAGTTCTGGAGAGTAAAGGAAAAGCCCAGATGTTTGAGGCACCAGATGCCACTGATGAAAGTGGATTGGGAGTCAAGTTCTACAACTAGTCTACAGATTGAATTCCGATCATTTTAGTGAACTTACACACGGCTTGCAATCAAAGTCATAAAACACACTAATTCTACAATCTAAATTGAGCATTGCGGTAATTCACCTTTTCGGCGCTAGCCGTCACGCGGTATAAATTGTTTTAGATTGTGTTACGGTCACTAAAAAGTTCGGACATTGTTCTCGAACTTCCGTACAAAGGTACTGACTTTAAATGAATTATTTACTTGGCTAATGTTTAGTTAGTTCTCTAAATACAAGTAAAGATCTAGCTTGATTGAAGCTTTTCTTACTGCTGTTAAGATAGCTAACTAAAGAAATCTACCTAAATTTTCTCTTTAAAGTCAGTGAATTTGTATGGAAATCAGAGATCGATGTCTGAACTTTTTGGTGACCGTAGCACAATCCAAGCTAGCGCCGAAAAGGTGAATTCTTGTTAGTTTGGTGTAATCTATATTTTTCTTCTTTAAAAATAGAAAACACTTTGAATTATTTATTTTTGATGTTTAGCCTTAGATTTTTGATGTTTTATGGAATTGAAATTATAATGCGATGCACTACCTTCTGAATAGACTAAACTAAAGTAGTTTGAACTACTTCGGTGTCTCAAGAATGATTGTTGTAAATAGTTGCTATCGTGTTAAAGAGATTTGATTTATCGGAAAGAGGACTTTACGATCAAATCTGTCACGTTGATTAAAGGAAAATTGTAAAGTATCGTGAAGATTGCCCTTCAACGATGAATTTTTTAAACTAAGCATTTTTGCATAAAAGATATATGTGGTCGGGCAAGTTATACCTATTTGAACTTTCTGCATTTTTTTTTTTTTTTTTTTTGTTGGTGGATACTATAGTGTCATTGTTACTAATCGTGACATATGGTTTACGCTGGTAATGCAGGAAAGAAAGTAATAACCAGGCTCGTGAATAATTGTCCAAGGTGTTAAAAAAAGGTCTTTATCATTGCAAGCTCACCGTTCGTCTCGTTTCGATGCAAACTACCTTTCAAGATGACGCAGGGAACTGTAAAAGGGACTGTTCTTGAAAAATCCAAACAAAATTTGCCAAATTTAACTTAGTTCCTTGAGGCCTATCGAAGCGCAACAGCGCCAACAATTGTGCTTGGAAATTTGTGCAAGTTAGCTTTAATCTATCATGATATGGTTTGCCGTAATAGCACGTGCCGCACCCAGGGCCTATGCTACTCGGGCTATGTTTTTGTGGTCTGTGGTCTTTGTACACCTATGTATTGCTATGAATGGTAGTGAACAGGTATAAAATGTTAATTTGAAATAAATTACACAAAAAAGTAAAAAGTACTTATACTTCTCGTTAGATCATATTATTTCTTATATATGTTTGTACTTTTATAAAAAGCTTTAGAGTAATATGCATGTACAATGAAAACATTTAACCCGTGAAATAAAAAAATGTCAGTCAACGTGTAACAATGAAATGGTTAGAAAAGGAAACAATGGAATTAGAATCTACCAATGTGTATTAGTTTCAGGTCAAACGACGTCGACTTTACATGAACTCATTTCGAACAGTTAGGTTCGGCTCATGTAAAGTTCGACGTTTGACCTTAGTCGAATATCTATTTCACTGGTTTAGTGACTTCACTCTGTCTGTGTATGGGTATTCTTATATTACAAAACTAACTGAAAAACTATTTTTTGTATGCGGAGTTTGCTTGTTGACTAAGACTTGAAGAGAGGCAACAAAGGAAGGTTTCTATTGGTGCGCAATCTCATCCAGGTGAGCTTACGCACGCACTCTCGGTTATTATTAACCAATCAGAAGCATTTGTGTTGCATTGCCAAAAGTTCCATGATGAATTCCAAAATGGAGTCGTATTTCGAGTTAACCTTTTCAAAATACGTCCTGAAATATAACTTTACTTTAAAAAATTCTATGTTACATGTACCAGAAAAGCTTCCTCTTGCTCTGTTAGCAGTTCAAATTAATAAAAACAAAGCATAAATTCAACAAAAGTAAGCGAAATCGGTGTTGTCTTAATTAGTCACCAGCCGCCATTTTGATTACCGTGTGACATTATGAAATAGGAGACTGGGTCATTAGGAACTGTTCGCTTTGACAAATAAACCTTTGCGCGCTTCGAGGCGAGATCACCTGGATTGCCATTCTGTAAATTGCACCAAAAAGACTTTTTCAGTTGTTATGGCTTCTTCACTAAGATGTTCGATGAGTCCAAGCCAAATCCCTACCTCTAAAAGTAATGGATTACTTCGCGGCAATTTTGAATCACAAAACAAAGATGCTGAAATGACGACCCCACGCGCGCTAATTGAGAAATATCCTAAGTTGTGGAACTGTCCATTAAATTATCTAATTTATGTTGTCAAATTGACTTGTGAACCGTAAATATAATAATGCGCAATTTCGTCTTTTAGTGTCATTTTGCGACTAAAGGGTTGTTATCATGGATCTTTCAAAAGTTGCCTTCTTCTGACACTAAAAGGGATTCCCATGGCATGCCAGCAGTATCACTGCCATTCGGCTGGCACCCAAAGGGCTTCTCGAGTCACTCGTTCTATTGCATTGTTCAGCTCGAAGTAAGCTACTTGAAGGTCGTCGTTGACAATAGTTTCGTCGAAGTAGTGACCATACTCCCTTTCCATAGCTTCTCCGGATTTGATCATATCTTGCAGATCGTCTTCCTAAAATTTATGAGAAAGCAAAATAGTTTGATTCAAGGGGTTTTCTTTGCGTTATCATTTTTTCTCCCCGGCCTCTACCGTACTCAACATGCTAAATTCAAAATTGGATTTGTGAGTGATCCGATTCTTGCCTTTGACCAATTGAACAGCCCGGACAGCGGTCCGATCAAATTAGTGATTTGGTTTTTGTTTTCCCAAGATTCTTCTGCCATTTTGGCAGCCTCTTGCTATACCTCTCTCACTGAGCCTTATAATTTAGCGACAGTGATGGTGACGGCTTTCCGACCGTTGACAAAAAAAACTTTTAATAACCTCGTGGTTCCTTGGATTGTTGATTTGGTGTAAATTTTTTATCTTGCCTCGAGACGAAGGCAATCGCATATTCCGTTGCACCATCAAGCTACTGTGCTTCCTTTTATCTTCCAAAAGACGCACCAGGGAAAGGAGACATGCATTTATTTAACAAATCCCTTAAGGCTACACTTTGGTAGGCATGGCTAGCATGCACTCCTCCGGTGTTTCGATTTATTTTTCTTCCAGGTTCTCCAGTTCGACCATTAATGGACTATTTCGACGATACAGCGGCCATCTTGCCATGGACCAAAACAAAACAAAGATGACGGAAAATATATAGAGTTTCGTGAGTTTTTCTTTTTTATGATAAATGTGATTGATGTATGTCGTCTCGATTCATCTTTGTGTTGAGTTGTTAATATCAATTGATGTCATTCAGTTACTGTGATAACAAAGCTTTATTTGCTCCAGAGACGCCTCATATTGGCTTGCGATTCAAGATGGCCGCCGTGTTGAAATAATCCATTACGGAAGTCGAACCTTATCAGTCATTTATTAGTATATGGCTTGGGAGAGGTAATTATGAGTCTCTGGCTTGGGATAGACTGATCAATCTCTTTCTGTGTGATCGACGTATAGATAAAGTATACCAATACAAATTACTATTGCTCAAACATACCTTAAAAGTTCGTAGATCTTGTTTCTTATCACCCTTCTTTATCGTTACTCGGGTTGAACGCAGTTTTTCTAACGGTGGTGGTTTGATGTAGATGATGTATGGCTTGTATTCTTTCTGTCTGAGAATCTTGATTGCCTGTACATCAAATTGTTAATCAGTTCTATTCAAATATCGGCATGAGGTCGTAACCATTCACCATTTTCCATACATTGATTCACTGGTCAAACACAAAGCGCTCAAGCGAGGCGCCAAAGTACTTCCAAAGGATTATTCAAATTTGAACCTTGCAACCTTGACTGAATGCTTTTTGCTTGACCAGTGAACCGATGTATGGAAAATGGTGAATTGCTGAAGAGCGACTGTCGGAAAAAGACTACGCCAGCAGCAAATATGGATTAGTCACGCTGAAGGACGTCACTGCAAAACTAAGCCGTGTCATGAGATCTGCGGTTAAAAACTTTTATGCCCGCCATATTACAATAACTCGATGTGTCACTGTTGTCAAGTGTTATTTTTTTCTTCGTTTTGTAGCCTGAAAATCTATAATTTCAAGAAGAAAAGTGACAGCTCAGTTTTGCCCATTTGTATTTTCTCGATTCTGATTGGCTAGTTTTTTTCACTGGGCCATGGTTCCATATATGGTCTGGGGACCGTCTCTCCCCTGATCCCTTGGGGCTAGAACGTTTGGAATATTAATCGGAGTTCTGATTAGTTCTAAATCAAAGATGGTGGTTTATTTATTTTTGGCATCTGGGCAAAGCTAGGTATTGCATACCAAAGAGCTAGGGGTTTGGCGCTGGGAAGTGAGTGGATTTTGGCTGCCCTAAGCACCCATGCCATGTAAGAGAAGACAAAGACACATACCTGTGGCTGTACTTTTAGAATGCAGATTTTTCCTGTCTTCAGGACTCGTTTGATGGAGTCTATTGACAGTCCGTACAGACATTTCTTGTATTCACCAATCTCGATGAACTTGTTATTTTGTTCGTAGTTTTCCATGGTTGTCCTGGATACGAAGCAGTACTCTCTGCCATCGGTTTCGTAGGCACGCATTTTTCTTGACGTATCTAGAAAATGTTCACGTCATTATTTCCTTGACCGTTGGGCTCTATTTYTTCATTTCAATTGATCTTCAATTTCGAAAAAATGGGGTAATTGAGTAGCTACTGTATGTCATGAAATCATAGTGAAACCATTTAACTTCGACACGATACGGCGGCCATTTTGCCAAGGGACAAAACAAAGCGAAGATGACGGAGTTTCATGTGTTTATTGTCTTTCTTTAAAGATCCAAGATGGCCGCCATATCGTCGAAGTAGTCAAGATTCGAACACAAGAAGCCCAAGCTAGGATTCTGTGGTGTTTACTAACACCAGGGGTGGAGGGAGGAAGAGGTTTTATACATACGGGGCACTGCTGCTGCAAATTTTTCGTGGTCACTTGCCAACAGTCTTTTCTTTAATTCATTTCTTCCAACTCCTCTTGGACCTAAAATCAATTGCAAAAATAATGGTCACAGACTATTAAGTCTAAATCACTATTTTACTATTTCAAATCACGTGTCTTTTATTATTATTATTATTATTATTATTATTATTATTATTATTATTATTATTATCTCTTTTGATTTGATTAATCTCATAAACCGAATCGAAATATGGCGACCAATTAGAATAACTATCGTTCTGGACTCACTAACGACTGACTAGCCTCCTATACATGTGAAAATGCTTTTATGTTTCCACTTGAACACGAGCCTAGTCAGTCGCCATCAGTGCAGAACAATAGTTATTCAAATAGGTCGCCATAATTTGATTCGGTTTATAATCAGCCTTCAGGTGCAGGAAAGCTTGAAGAAACATAATAAAGTCTGGGGCCAGGCAAATCGAAATACATAATTCCCCATGGCCCATTTGATTTAAGAGGGATTCCACATCGGTCTGCTGCAGAGCAGGAGCGTTAACAAGACAATACTCTAGTTTCGAGTTCTCTGTTGCTCAGGGTTAACCTCGACTTTGTGCAGAATAGTCACGTGTTCCAGTAAAGGTCCGTGGAATTTCAAAGTGTTTGTATTGTTGAAGTTGTGCATTCTTTAGTTTACCATTGGTATTTGTGAATATTTCAACACTGATTCGAGGCTAACCCTGAGAAAACGAGTCTGTAATCAAGGAACACATGCAGCGGTCATTTGGAACTCGAAAATAGCGGACTCCACGTACTTTTGCTGGCCAGGAAGAAAAGAAAAAAAATGTCTGTTTTGTTTCGATTGTTTTTGTTTTGTCCCACAAATATGGCTGCCACCAATCTCCTCTCAGTACCAAAATCCAATTATTTTTTTAAAGGTTCGTACAATGGTATTATACACTGATGCAGAAGTTCATAACTAGTTATGAACTTCTGACTGATGATATTATTTATAGAAGGAATTACCTATCAGCAGTATGGGTCGCTGCTTGTTGTTAGTCGGCTTGTAATGAACTACCTCTTCATACGTTAAGATGTTCTCAGCTTCTAAATCTGTGTAGTGGAATATAAATACTTGTTCTTTAGATTTTATTAGTCTAATCGATTAAAAAAGGTATTTACATGCATTGCAGCATAAGGAGGAATATGGAATCCAAGAAATACTGTAACGCTTTCTCTTGATGCAAGATTTGCAGCTCCATCACAGCTAGATTGACGATAGAAGATTGAATAAAATATATTGTACTTATACGCCGGTATACAAACAGTAATACCATGATTACCTCGGATTCTTTTGTCTTTCGAGGGCTTTAGAAACCCGAATTTCCCGCATGCATAGAACATGAGGGAAATTTAGAAGACAAAGAAATCCTTTGTCTTTTACTAAATTTCCCTGTCGCTTATATTAAATGTAGGCAAATTTAGTAAAAGACAAAAGATTTCATTTTCTTCTAAATTTCCCTCATGTACGTTCTATGCCTCGTCTCCCTCAGGGACAACTCAATGCCCCTGCAACTGAATCGCTTACAACGTATCCTATTTATGATATTACTGCACGGTTTCCATGTGGGACGCGTTCTCAAATCTGCGCATGCTCAGTCATAAGATAAATTGAAAATGACAACTTGTTTTTAGATTCTATTTTTGTTTTATTCCACACATTTTCCCTCGTTATTCGGGGAAATTTAATCACTAATTTCCCTTGTGCCATGGTATTACTTATAAAAATAGCTGTTTTATTACCTGCAAGATTGTTGTCAGGGTCTCTTTTATTTTTTCTTTTCATTCTTCTTCTTCTCTTCAATTGCATGATGAATCGAACTACACGCACCAATATAAAGAAATAATCACGTATATTCAAGAATGACTTCGGTGTATTATTTATTACTGGGCTACAATATTGGACAAAATTATTTGTTACAAAACCGCAATTACTTCATTTCGGTTTTATAACTTCAAATTAAGTCTCTCTGAAAGAGTCCCTTCGCTCCCTCTATCCAATGTTGTATCTTRATGGTATGCGCCGAGATTAATCAGGGGAGCCACCAGAATAACAATGCTCAGTGAGGAGGGGAGAGGTGGGCTGTGTGAAGGAAGCACCTGAAAAGCGGCAAGGACATTCAAAGTCTGTCATGAAAAGGGCAATGTAACACGAATTTTGCCCAAAATTGTAGCCAGATAAGTAAGAAGATACCTATCTCATGAAAAGTCTGCAAAATAAATCTAAACTGCAGAAGAACGTATTAAAAAACTGAATCACTTAATTCGGTAGCTATATATACTAAGGTGGTTGTCTTTTGGGAGGTGCTGAGAAAAGGGGGAGTCCGTGAAATCACTTGAGAGTGTTTTGAAACATCACGGCAACCACGACGCACCCACCCCCAATTCGCCCTCTATGTCCCCCATGGCGGACAAAATATATTTAAATCTAAAAGAACACAATGCTTTGGTAAGCCACATTTCCCTTAATTTGATAACTCCATGTCAAGCCCGCCTCCCCTTTTTAATTTTCGGCTAAACGAACGTCCGATACAAAGATCTCATGTGTCACAGTAATTGCAAGATGGATAAAATACTTACTTCCATTCTTTTGGTTTAGGTTCTCTTGCTCGGAACTCAACATTCGGTCAAATAACACGCGCCTACGAAGAACAATATGTTGGGAATTACCAGCATTAGAAGACAAGAAAAAGCACAAGAAAGACAACTTTGACAAAACAAACATACTTCTCTTGAAACTGTTTGCTGGGGATTAAACCAATCGCTCCTCCAGATGATCCTTCTTCTTTTGCCGCCTTAAARAAAGCCAGAAAAAGATTGCAATGCAGTCAGTACACAATATAAGACTAGCGTTAATGCTTTCCCATTTCAGACCATTTGTCATTCTTCTGATAATAAGATCCTTTGTTCAGTGAGAATGAGTTGTATTCATTTGTTTTTATGAATTTAATCTATAAAAACATAAATAAAAGATAAAAACATGAGAAGATATATACACTAAAATGTATTTTCTCGTGTTTTTCTGCCGTTCAAGAAAGAATGAAAAATACTCGAGGGAATGACACGTGGTTTGAAATGGGTAAACATTACGTTAAGAAGTAAAGTCTATTTGGTTGGGTGGCAAAGGCCCTCTGCGTAAATCAGTAAAACCAAGATTAAGTGCGTGAAAATTGAGCACTTTTTGCGTTACTAAAAATGCGTAATTAAAAACGCGTACTTTAGGAAGTTCTTGGAAAAGTATGAAAGACCAGTATTTTCCACCCTGCATGTTAGCCATCCAAATCATATACGGATTTTCATTGCTCCACAGGTAGCCCAAAACAAACAAAAACAGATTTACCTGCCACCAGTTTGAATCATCCTTGCTGACGACTTGCAAAACATCACCTTTCTTGAAGACTATCCCTGCCTCTTTACAAGGGATGAGATMATCTTTCATTGGATCATAATCGAATAGGGCACGCAGACGAATCTGTTTAGAACGAGTATAATGGTTCTAAGTAAAAAAAGGAGTAAAACTGATGGACCTTACACTCAAGGCTGCGTGCGCATTGAAACTTGACAGGGACAAAATCGAAAAAAAAAAAGATTCTGGGAATATGCCTGCGCAGCTAATTATGTTTGAAAAATAAAGTGCGCAAGGCCAATAATATACCTGGCACACTTTTGCCTGTTTATTGCAGGTTTGTTACTTAGGTCCCGTCCACACTATGCCGGATAAATTTGATTCCGCAACTTTCACACCGAAACCGAAAAAAAAGTGAATTTTTAGCCTTCCCRCCATGTTCCCATGACAATCATGACGTCATAGTATTCGAAAAATTCCGGATACGAAATGTTCTCCGTCCACACTAATGCGGCTAGCCGACGGGGCCTTAGTTATTTCCTGTGCTTCGAGGGTTTTTCTCCGGTTGTGCCAATTTTCCTCCCTCCGAAAAAAATCAACTCTTCTAACTTTCACTACGATCAGAGAATCAGGGCGCCAGGTATGTTAGTCACTGGCTGTCATTTGCTACCCTCGTAAAAACAAGGACGATTATATTCGTGATAAAGGCGGCGAAGCATGGAAGTATAATAACTGTATCGTGAATAGAATAAACWGCCAGACCAATGTCTATTTAGTTATAATGCTGGGATGAGTACATAAACCATTATCAGTCACAGTCAAAATGTATAATACAGTGCTCAATACCAGATGATCGAGGGCATACCAAAAATGAAGTTTGAAAATTGAAAATGGCGCTTACTTTACTTCCGTTCTGCTGCTTCCTATCCTCCATGGCTGGAATAACCTTGAACATCACAGAACCGGAAGTTTTTTCCTTGATAAAAATGAAATGAAGAACGACAATTAAAATAAGATATAACACGTGAATCGGGTCATTTCTTTATAATTTAAATAATAGTGTTAGATGCTTGCATGTTGAAAGAAAATTTGGATTCTGTCTACATCTAATAGCCCCTTAATATGCAGCCCGCAATGTCCTCCACTGGTCATAAACGTAAAGCGCATTGGGCCGACGTTGTATAAATGCGCTATAAGAACCTCCCATTAATTAATTAATTAATATCTATCTGCACTTTGACATCATTGCTTGTTTATAAAGGGGACGTTGCAGAGTGGCGAAGAACGACAAGAATTTTCAAGTTTCGAATTCTCTGTAATACAGTTTTGGCCTCGATTTCGTTTGGAATATACGTTGAATATTCATGTATTCTAGTGAAGGACCGTGAAATTTCATGTTGGCATTGTTGGAGTTGTGCATTCTTGGTTAGCTTTTGTTGGTATTTGTGAATATTTGGATACTGATTCGAGGCTAACCCTGAGTAAGGTCCCGTCCACACGTATCCGGAAATTTTTGTATCCGCAAATTTTTTTTTTACGGATACGGGTTGCGTCCACACAGGTCCGCAAATTTTTGTGTCCGTATCCGCAAATTTTATGAAAACGGAAACGTGTGGACGGTGAAAACGATTCAAATATGCTGCGTGTGGACGCAAACGTTTTCGTATCCGCAAAAAAAAGTTTGCGGATACAAAAATTTGCGGATACGTGTGGACGGGGCCTAAATGAGTCTGTAATTAAGGACTGAACACATGAAAGGTAATTTGGAACTCGAAATCGGGCTTTATACAACTGTTCATCTGCCTGTATTTTCAATGGCATAGGATACGTTGAAATTACGTTGAATATTCATGTGTTATAGTGAAGGTATGGTAATGTTGGTATCGTTGAAGTCGTGCATTCTTTACTATACCTTTGAGAATGTTTGGACACTGAAACTAATTATGCTCTGCAGCTAAATTGATAGCTCTGCGTGATATGTCTGATTTTTAAACATTTTATACGGTATTTGGTGGCTATAATTACATTTATTTCTAAGTTCTGAAAAATATAATTTGTTACTTTTTTTTTTGTATTAGTGCTGTTTTGTCGCCATTCAACGACCATAATTCTTTAGGTCAAAAAAAAAAAAAATGTTTTCATGTTCCTCTGAAAGGTGTTTTTTATTTCAGTCAAGATGTTTCGGCCTGCAGTAMTAAATTCTAAAATAATTTGAGTTGAATTCTGAATGGTTTTTAGAATAAATTGTCGAATTCGGCAGATCAAGGGTATTCAAGGGTTAGTATGATAAAGTCAAACTCGWGCAAAGCAACGACATATTAGATGTTTTGAATAAATTGAAGGGGCAGGTGCCGTATCATATAAAGATTACATACCCTCCATCAGACATACAAGTCTCGTATTACCCTAGCTAAATCACCTTACCATAATGTCTACAACTTCATCAGTGCTTCTCCCGTTTACACTGGTTCCATTAATCTCCTGGATGACGTCACCAACGTGCAAAGTGCCTAAAACCAACCAATTAATGCAGATAAAAAGCCATTCCATTAAGACAACTGATCTACTTAAAGCAACAAGATAACATATGTTTTTTTAATAATCCCGGTTAGATCACTTTGTATTAAGACAGGATGAGGTTAAATCTGCATTTACGCAAGAAGCGAGTCTTATCCTCTATAAAACTATTTAGCTTTGGCATAATGTTTTCCTATTTTGGAGCTACGTTTTATTCCCTTCCGTAATCATGCGAATACACTTGGATTATTGAGCGCGTCTTTCCCTTGATTCGAGGCGGTTTTCTTCGAATCCGTCACGACAAAACCCTAACACGCTAAATTTCGATTCCGTGTGTTAGTTAGGTGTGCCAGAGGTTAATAATTTGAAGTTTATTTAAATGTGCGTCGCTTAAGTTTTAATTCACATCCCTCTACGTTTCATCAGTGTCAGGCTGAATTAGTAAACCAAAAAACATTAGTTTTCATTAGTTAAAGTTATAGGGTATTTTGCAAAAAAAACGTGTTTTGTCTTGCTTTTCTTATAGCGTTGTCGCAATACATGTAAACCTTTCCATGTCAGATTCAGTTTCATGTTCGTTTTTTTTCTGCATTCGCGAACATCGGCTGTAACCGAGGATTAACGATGACGTCTTTCCATCCACCTTTTGTAACTTATTCTAAATAGGGATTTTGACAGAAATACTTTCACAGGAAATGGGATTTGAACAAAATAATTATGCAACAAAGCATGCACTGAAAAGCACGAATGAAAAAGGACTAGGGATAACTATTCTTCGTTTGCAAGGCTTACGTCATCGCCGCCATGTTGGGTATTTATATAACAAAATGTTTCTCATTAGCATCCTTTGTATGTTAGCCGGACTACTCATCATTGATAAATCATAATATTTTTGCTCACCATCCTTCAAACCTTATCGATAACTAGCCCGCGAAACAACCTAAAGGGTTTTCAAAGGCATGGCACGGCTACTGTTAACTCACTGATTGACCAAATTGGATTGAATTGTAGCACCTTATCTTTTGAGGGACGAAAACCGGAAAACCGAACAAAACGTAACAGTTTTTTTTTTATTTTTTTATTTTTTTTACAAAACACCCTATAACTTGGATTAAACTCTAGATTAAACTTGAATGAAAATGTAAATGAATGAAAAAACACAAATCATGGGAGAAAACCTAACAAACTCTATTCACATGTGATGACGGGTCTGGGAATCGAACCGGAGACTCCGTATCACAAGTTATACTGGCTTCTTGAATTAGTATTATCCTATATTCATTTCTTACCACTTCTATCGACAACTCCTCCGTGCAGTATTCTTGCGACAATGATATTACCAGTGTCTGGTTCACGTAAAACTGTGGCTCCCTGCAGAAGGGAAAAAAACTTGGATTAACTCTTTGTTTCTGAATGTTATTTGAATTATTCCCGGAAGGCGAAGTGCATGGTTGTCGGTAAATATTCACCGATAATTACCGAGACTGAGGCGAATATATAATTTTTTTAGTATAATTTTAGTATCAATATCAGAGAAAAGCCGATTWTTTAAATTTTAATAATTGCTTTAGTATTTTTAACACTAATAAATGAAGCCATGGAAAAAGTTTTTTGTTCAAATTTCATTTATCTCTGCAAGTGGCACAAATCGATCAAAGAGCGTGCGTGCTTGCGTTATATTTACCTGTAGGTGAACATAGCAGCATAAGACGTTAGTGCTAAAAATTAGTATTAGTCTAACGCGTTTAGTGCGAGCACTCTAACTGAACAATATACTTACTAAAGGATCATTTCCACTCTTTATCAAAGTGATAAACTTGACAGGCCCTCCTGTACCATAAGCATCCATCAATACTGGTGTAGAATGAATGTATGGAGACGAATCTTCGGGGTTTTTAGAGGGAATGTCATCAGCAGCAACTCGATCATGTGCTAAGAACATAGCCTTAAATCGAAAACAAAAAGAGAAAGGAATGCTTTCCCATACATTTCATACCACCTGTCATTCTCTAGAGTATCATTTCTTTGTTTAACGGTTGCGCATGAGAAGACACGTCAAACAAAAAAAAAATTTTCAAAAGAATGACACGTGATCATGAACTGAAATATCTGAAGGGAAAATATTGCGCCCAAGCTAAATAAGACCTTTTTAGCTTGAGCAAAAGAGAAATTAAAAGAAGAGAAGAAAAATTAGGAGGTCAAGAAAAAGAAGAAGAAGTTCATGAACGGGAAGAAGAAGAAAGTTGAAATTCCATTTTTTTCTACAAAGAATTAGTAGACAAATATCCTTCCTCATTTTAAAGTCCAGTACGCACACGTTTGCCTGAATGTGGTAAATATATACAATCATAGTATACAGCCGTTTCTTCAAAACAAAAATTAAAAAAAACAAACAAAAAAACCCGGAATACTATGGGATGATGCATACTAAGTAGTGAATTTCAAGACCGAAATGCATTTTGGGAGTTATGTAATATTGACTAGAGTAAAATAAATAATGAATATTTTGTTTGTGCATTCCGTCCAAAACAATATACTATCTACACTATAGAGAGCTATTCAGTATTCGACTTTTCTTGAATTATATCAAATTGAGCTGATCCTCAAAGTATATGAAGCAACTTATGCAGCTGCAAACCGTTGAAAGACGGCAGAAAAGAGTCTTGGACGGGATTTGAACCCGTGCCCTGGCGATTCCGGTCCTATGCTCAAATATGAGACTTCAAGGACACGTCAGTTAGGTTTTTTTTCTTTTTCTTTTTTTTTTTT